CCCCGGCCGGGTGCGAGCCATCGCCGCGTTCAGCCGTGAGAGCGAGAGTGCGCTCCTGGAAGCAAAACTGAGACGGTAAACGTGGCAAAAGCTGAGAGATAACCCCTTGTAAAACAAAAGCAAAAAACCCCCGGAGAGATGCAGCGGCATAAACAGGAATATCCCAGCTGGTCTTGTTATTCCTTGCTCGCATTATGATACTGCTCCGACATCTCAGTCTTAGGTGAGGACTGTTGCAGGAAGGGCGGTGGGACCGGTGGCAGGGGTGGTCCTGGCCGCACCGAGGCACCGGGAAGGGCGGCGAGGCTGCGCGCGGGCCCTCGCTGAACTCCTGCGGCTCAGCGCCGTGCCCGTGCTGCGCCGCCGGGTGGGGAGGAGAGCTGCCCACGCGCGTCAGAAAATGGCCAGAGTCCTCAAGTTCCCCTTGGAGACCTGGGCAGCCTGCGAATCTCGGGAGAGAGTGCAAAAAAGTAAAGAAATAATGTTCCGTTTCCAAAGGCAGGGAGGGGAGGTGTTTTAAAATGAATTTTGCTCATCAGTCAGAAAGTGAGTTATTAGGACAATCTTTCCTTTGCTGGATCTTTGTTGCTTCTTGCTCCTGAATTGTAAGTTTCCTCATGGTCATAGGGATTGATGTGAAGCAGCACCAGCTATGTAAGCAAGAAATACTTACTTAAATAATAAACTTTTTTAGCTGTTTGCATTTCTTTTTCTCAGTAGATGTTCTTAATGCTGGTTCTCGTGTGAGTTTGAGACAAAATATGATAATTTTCTTTACTATATAAGCTTTTTCACTAAATTCTGTATTTCATTTTACCAACGAAGTTCATCTATCAGTATGTTTTTATTTAAGCAGTAGTGTGTCTCACAATACATTTCAGCCTTATATTTTAAACTTTCATGTTAGTATAAGGTAATGGCAGCTTTCCTATTTACCATATGAGTAGTTTTTAAACACATGGTGGGTCAGGCTGCTTTTGGATGGAAACTGAATTCCAATTAAAAAGGCCCCAAAATAGAATTTTTATGAGTGTTTTTAACAGTTAAATGAATGTGCTGGATACATATGGAAAATAATGTTTATCTAAACATGCTTTACATTTCCAACAAGTCAGTTACAAAGACAGCACAGTCGTTCCTGGTCCTCGTGTCCTTTAAGATGGTAGCCATCTCATACCCCACTTTTTTCCATATCTTGGAAGGACATAGTTGACTTCTGTCTTTGCAGTTGCTTTTTGGGTGAACTAGGCATAAAATTGATCTGACAGAGTAACATGAAGTGAAGAATATAGTGTATTTTCACACACTTATGAATCCAATGTGCTCAAACAGCTCGAGTGCAGTGAACTCCTGTCCCATGTGCTCGGTGACACGTCTCCATCTTTCCAGTGGCTTATCTTTATTCAGAGCATCAGCAGCAAGCACATACAACCATAAATAACTTTTTATTTCATTTAAAGGATTTCACTTTTGTAGTAGAATTAAACATTATCTGAATTGGCCTCCTCTTGGTCCTGAAAAGACAATATTAGTGTTTGTAAATAGGTGTTATGAGTGGCGAGTGGCAATATTCTCGTATCACCACATTTGTTTCCTTTTCGCTGACTGTTACCCCACCTCTCGCTGTGGAGCTGTTCGGATTTTGCACACCAGAGATGTGTGTTCTGGTGTTATGACGGTGACTCGACGGCAGGATGCCGATGTGCAGGAACTTAACTTTGCCCCGAGAGCTATAAGGTGCTGCAGTAAATTATCTCTCCGTCTGCGAGAAGCTCTCATCTGGGACCTGCTCCCACCAGGGGAGGTAGCATTTTCCTTCAGGGAGACGATCTGTTTGCTT